TGAGCATATTGTCACCCATTCGTTTTAATCTTCATGTGTTTGACTTCACAATTAATGCTGATGTGATTTAGGGATAGAAACTATTGCTATAAATATAACATTAATTTGATGCAGTAGGATTGAAATTTGCTTCAATAGGATTGATATTTGATCCAGTAGGAGTATATTTTAATCCGGCAAGATTGTAATTTCATGCAGTAGGATTTTAATTTTAATCTAAAAAATTGTATTTGATCCAATTTGATTGGATTTTAAAGTGGAAATTCTTGAGACTTGATCCTAATGTGACTAAGGAATATCAATATTTACTGATTTCTGCTCCTGGTCCTTCGAACCTGATAGCTGTTTCAATCCAGTACGTTGGTTTCCATCAATTAACACACACACACACATTATAATATATATAAATATATATATATATATATATATATATATATATATATATATATATATATATATATTATACTATTAGTATATTTTGGTAGCAGTCTTTCTTGTAAACATATGTTATTAAATATAACCAAAAAAGTAAGATTAATAATTCTAACACGAATTTTCTCAATATTTCTTATGTTTCTTTTTACTGTCAATGGTAATTGAAAAATCAAGTCTCCAAAATTCATTTTTATTTCTAGTCTGACGCGACGAATGAATGCATTTCGTAATTACCTATTACATTTTCAAAGACTTTAGTTTACACACACAACTGTAACCTGTAAACACGCCATTTGCTTCTATATTTATACTCGCATTTGGGTGAGGTGATATGGTACAGCAGTTTTGGATGAGGTGAACAAACTTGTGACAAACACAAGACAGAACACGGAACAATGGGTATTAATTGGATATGAGAGCATAAGAATGGAAGTAACTGCAAAGGGCCTATTGGCCGATACTTCCTCTTGATACTTCTATATTGGTACGGAGTCTTGAAGAAGGTAGAATATAGTTGTGCATTAATTGACTGTTGATTGCTGGTATTGACTTTTTGATGTGTAGTGCCTCGCAGATGTCGAGCAGCCTGCTATCGCTGTATCTATCAATGATTTCTGTATTGTTTGTCAAGACTTTTCTGGTGATGGTCTGGTTGTGGGAAGAGATTATATGTTCCTTAATGAAGCCCTGTTGCTTATGCATTGCTAATCGCCTGGAAAGAGATGTTGTTGTCTTGCCTATATACTGAGTTCTTTGGGGCTTACAGTCCCCAAGTGGGCATTTGAAGGCATATACGACGTTAGCCTCCTTTAAGGCGTTCTGCTTTGTGTCTGGAGAGTTTTTCATGAGTAGGTTGGCCGTTTTTTTTGGTTTTATAGTAAATTGTCAATTGTATCTTCTGTTTCTTGTCTGTAGAGATAACGTTCCTATTAACAATATCTTTCAGGACCCTTTCCTCCGTTTCATGAGCTGTCAAAAAGAAGTTCCTGTAAAATAGTCTAATAGGGGGTACAGGTGTTATGTTAGTTGACTCTTCAGAGGTTGCATGGCATTTCACCTTTCTTTTTATGATGTCTTCAACAAAACCATTGGAGAAGCCGTTGTTGACTAGGACCTGGCTTACCCTACAGAGTTCTTCATCGACTTGCTTCCATCCTGAGCTGTGGCTGAAAGCACGGTCGACGTAAGCGTTGACAACACTCCTCTTGTACTTGTCTGGGCAGTCACTATTGGCATTGATGCACATTCCTATGTTTGTTTCCTTAGTGTAGACTGCAGTGCGGAAACCTCTGCTCCTTTCCATGCTGTTACATCTAGAAAGGGCAGCTTCCCATCCTTCTCCATGTCGTAAGTGAAACTCAACACAGAATTCCGCTCGAATGCCTCCTTCAGCTCCTGCAGACGTCTGACATCAGGTACCTGTGTAAAAAATCATCAACATACCTGCAGTATATGGCAGGTTTCAAGTTCATGTCAACTAAGACCTTCTGTTCGATGGTACCCATGTAGTAGTTCGCAAACAGGACACCTAGGGGAGAACCCATGGCGACCCCATTTACTTGCTTATACATGTGTCCATCTGGGCTCAAGAAGGGTGCCTCTTTAGTACAAGCTTGGAGTAGTTTCCTTGGAATGTTTTCCGGTACGTCAAGAGGAGTACAAGCCGGATCACGATACACTCTGTACGCTATCATCCTGATTGTTTCATCCACAGGTACGTTGGTAAACAGTGATTCTATGTCCAACGAGGCTCTTATCCCGGTGGCCCGTGTTCCCCCACAGTAAGTCAACAAATTCCTTTGGAGACTTCAGCCTGAAAGCACAAGGTACATAAGGAGTCAGCAAGCCGTTGAGTCGCTTCGGCAGTCTGTACGTGGGTACAGATGGTTAGTTTAGTGGGTGTGGGTATCTGGCTGATGATTGGCCGAAGTGGGTTTCCAGGCTTGTGTGTCTTGACATTTCCATATGCATACCCAGGTTTGTATTTCCCAATAACCTTTGGCAGGTGGAGTCCGAATTTCTTGGCATTCACAGTTTCGATCAATCTGTTTACCTTTGTTTTCAATTCGGCTGTAGTGTCCTTTGTTACCCTTCAGAATTTAGTTTGGTCAGAGAGTATGAGGTTCATTTTCGCCAGATATTCGTCTTTTTTAAGAATGACGTATATTGGCGACTTGTCACCTCTCCTGACGACTATCTCCTTGTTCTCACGAAGGCTCATAGCTGCCGCTTTGAGCACGGGGGACAGTATGGTGCTTCTGTAGTTGCCTCGAATCTTTCCTCCTTCTGCAATAAGTTCTGCTTGTAAGGTGTCTTTGATGGTGACCTTCTTTTGCGTCTCGAGGTCGAATATGTCGTCCAATAGGATCTCCAACTCAACTTTCCGGGCCATCTCACTTGGTCAGGACATAACGTGACAGTTTATACCCAGATTTAGGAGAGTGACTTGGTCCTCAGTGAGGTTGATTCCAGCAAGGTTCAGGAAGCTATTTCTTGGTCGTGGAATCGCCATAGGTCCACCATATAATGTTGTTAGTTTCTTGATGATCTTGGTTTCGGTGCTGAGGTGATGTCGATCTGTGAGGATGTCGAGGTGTTGCTCGATACGAGTACGGAGGTTTTCGTCGATGTTGCTGTTTCTCCATTGGTTTGTAGCATGATGAAGTTGCATTTTGTTGTCTTTGATCTCATTTTCTGCCTTGTGTATCTGATTTCGAATCAGATCTTGGCGATATTTTATCGTTAAGGCTTGATTTCTTGCTGCTGGGTCGTGCATTTTAATATTAGTATATTTTCGTAGCAGTCTTTCTTGTAAACATATGCTGTTAAATATGACCGAAAAAGTAAGATTAATAATTCTAACACGAATTTTCTCAATATTTCTTATGTTTCTATTTACTGTCGATGGTAATTGAAAAATCAATTCTCCAAAATTCATTTTCATTTCTAGTCTGACGCGACGCCTGAACGCGTTTCGTAATTACCTATTACATTTTCAAAGACTTTAGTTTACACACACAACTGTAACCTGTAAACAAGCCATTTGCTTCCATATTTATACTCGCATTTGGGTGAGGTGATATGGTACAGCAGTTTTGGATGAGGTGAACAAACTTGTGACAAACACAAGACAGAACACGGAACAATATCCAATTAATATATCTTAATTGGACATGAGAGCATAAGAATGGAAGTAACTGCAAAGGGCCCATTGGTCCATACTTCCTCTTGATACCCATTGTTTCGTGTTCTGTTCCGGACTGTCCCTAGTCGTCAGGGACAGTCTTCAGGGACAGTCATCGTGGACAGTCATGGACAGTCATCATGGACAGTCATCATGGACAGTCATCAGGGACAGTCATCAGGGACAGTCATCAGGGAGAGTCATCAGGGACAGTCTTCAGGGACAGTCATCAGGGACAGTCATCAGGGACAGTCATCAGGGACAGTCATCAGGGACAGTCATCAGGGACAGTCATCAGGGACAGTCATCATGGACAGTCACCTTGGACAGTCATCATGGACAGTCATCAGGAACAGTCATCAGAGACAGTCATCATGGACAGTCATCAGAGACAGTCATCATGGACAGTCATCAGGGACAGTCATCAGGGACAGTCACCATGGACAGTCATCGTGGACAGTCATCAGGGAGTCATCATGGGACAGTAATCACGGACAGTCACCATGGACAGTCATCAGGGACAGTCATCAGGGACAGTCATCATGGGACAGTAATCATGGACAGTCATCATGGACAGTCATCGTGGACAGTCATTATGGACAGTCATCAGGAACAGTCATCATGGACAGTCATCATGGACAGTCATCATGGACAGTCATCAGGGACAGTCATCATGGACAGTCATCAGGGACAGTCATCATGGGACAGTCATCATGGACAGTCATCATGGACAGTCATCAGAGACAGTCATCAGGGACAGTCATCGTGGACAGTCATTATGGACAGTCATCAGGAACAGTCATCATGGACAGTCATCATGGACAGTCATCATGGACAGTCATCAGGGACAGTCATCATGGACAGTCATCAGGGACAGTCATCATGGGACAGTCATCATGGACAGTCATCATGGACAGTCATCAGAGACAGTCATCAGGGACAGTCATCATGGACAGTCATCATGGACAGTCATCAGAGACAGTCATCAGGGACAGTCATCAGGGACAGTCATCAGAGACAGTCATCAGGGACAGTCATCAGGGACAGTCACCATGGACAGTCATCAGGGACAGTCACCATGGACAGTCATCGTGGACAGTCATGAGAGAGTCATCATGGGACAGTCATCATGGACAGTCACCATGGACAGTCATCAGGGACAGTCATCATGGACAGTCACCATGGACAGTAATCACGGACAGTCATCATGGACAGTCACCATGGACAGTCATCATGGGACAGTAATCATGGACAGTCATCATGGATAGTCATCATGGACAGTCATCATGGACAGTCATCATGGACAGTCATCAGGGCTCAGAGCCTATAAGTGGTGGTGCGTGTGTTGTGATGTGATCTCTAATGACATCATCATTTCCAGGTTCCTACTGTGGATCTTCATCGTCGCCACCATCAGCTCTACCTTCGGCATCATGTATATGTCACCACACACTAAGCTGTTCACCATGTAGTGAGGTGCTCACCATTCCGTCACAAGGACATGGTATGGTGCTCACCATCCCGTTATCATGATACAGTGTGGTACTCATGATTCCGTAACCTTGACCTAGTGTGGGACTCCGGATTCCATTACCATGATATAGTGTGAATGCTCACCACACCATCACCATGACACAATGTGTTGCTCACCATCCAATAACCATGACACCGTGAGTAGTGTAAAGTATGCCAGGAACAGGCACTTTATATTTTTAGCAACAGCCAGTTCTAGGCATACTTTTTTCTATGACCTCGACAGTAAACGGTCGTAGTCACACATTTTTTTCGATGTATCTCGGCAATGGGACATTTTGTTGACCAAACAACACATCAGAAGATGAAGGAACGACGACGTTTTGGTCTGTCCTGGACCATTATCAAGTCAGGTGTACTCACCCGACTTGGTAATGGTCCAGGTAAACCAAAATGTAATGGTAAAGACGTTTTTGCCATACTTTTTCCAGTCTCTAGTCATAGATTGCTTAAGTGAACCTAATATTTGTTTGTCTCTTGACAAAGCTTGCTTGTTGAACAAAGAAATTAAAGAAACTGCAGAAGGGTTATATCTTCTATTTACATCCACCCAACCACATTCATATATATGCCCATCCCATGCTTTATGTAATCAATCGATCCATATCATCTCGCCCTTAAGACCATAAGAATAAGAATTAAGAAAACTGCAAGAGTTCTTAATTAGGGAAATTGCAGAATGCCTGTTGGCCTACAGGTAATTCTGAACATAATTAAAGAAACTGAAGGGCAAGTCCTTTATCCTATGTTCCATGGAATACGACCCCATGAAAAATCGGTTTTATAACCAAGTACCCATTTTACTGTTGAGTTTAACAGAGGCTACAGTTAAGGATTTGCGCCCAGTAAATACTCCCAGTCTGGATACGAACCCAGGACAAAGTGCTCGCAAAACGCCAGGCGAGTGTCTTACCCACTACACCACGGGACTGCTATAACAGTCCCCGACTATATAGATATATTTCGACTACATAGCACTGGGAAGGGGGTTAGGATAAGGATTTAGGATGGGACGGCAGAAAGGAATGGTTCCCAGCCACTTGGACTGTCGGGATTGAACACCGAATGTAAGAATATGGTAAAAATAGGATGACTGTAAGAATAAGGTAAAAATAGAATGAAAGGCAAGAATAAAAAAGAGGTAGGAATCAGAAACAGGAGCAAAGCTTAAGCCAGATCACATTTGTTAAGAAGGTTAGAGTATGTATGTACTGTGAAAGGGAAGAGTCAGCAGCAACAAAGCCAGGACTCAGATTCATGTTGGTTATGTCGTGTATTGAAGTCGATTCAACAAGACGACAGAGTAGACGCAGGAATGATTATTTTAAAAGACTAATCTATAGGATGATTTAGACTCCCTAACATAACAGAAGACAGCAAAGTTTGTGTCTGCAGACTAAACATTTCTTTTGTGTTCCTTAAGTCCCGGCCAGTTTCCCCAAAGTATTGGGAGGACAAGACGAACAGAAAATGGTGTAGACACCAGCAGCACTGGAAGCAGGAGTTGTGTGAACCAGATTACTCCGAAGAGTGTCAGTTTGTTGAAACTAACTTTTATTGATGACACAAAACTAAGCTTGATGAAGCTTTATGTCAAGAGGACGAAGGGGTATTTGAGAGATTTTTAATATAGATATGAAGGGAAGACTGCTATTAGCCCATACATAGCACCTCCTGTTTATATCATTCTAACCTCATTTATATATATGCCCATCCTACGTTTTAAACAGTCAAGTGAGCCTTATCATCTTACCCATAAGAATTAAAGCTACAGTAGGTTTATATATAAGAAATATAGAAACTGCAAGAGTCCTATTGTTCCATACATAGCAGCTTGTATTTATATCGACCGTTGCTCGATCATATATATGATCAACTTATAGTTTAATCGAGTGCTCCTTAGTGATAGGCAAATCAACTCACTCTTAAGAATTAAGGAAACTGCATAGGGCATATATCTACTGTTTACATTCACCCAAACTAATTCATATATATGTCCAACCGATGCTTTTATAATATCCAGTAATCTGCTCCTCAAATCACTTTCCCTGTTTCCATTCCCTGCAGCAATGGTTAGTCATGTTAACAGTAAAAATACAAAGAAAATACAGAGAAAAAATACAAAGAAGCATCCTGGCCAGGGACGATTTACTGGGCGATAATCTTTAACTGTAGCCTCTGTAATGACATATGTTTCATTCCATCTACATTATACATATTCCAATGGATTAGTCAAACTTGGCAAAAATAATTTATAATTTTATACTAAGATATAATAATTTCTACACAAAATCAGAGAAACACACCTGATATGATATAGAGTCCATATCCAGGTATTAAATGTTAGGGCAAAGCAGGGTTGGTTGTACTGATGTAAGGAAAATGTCCAGTAACAATATGTAGAATGTAATATGATGTGGAGTCGAGATCCAGGTATTAGATGTTAAGTCAAGGATGATTAGGTTAAAGTTATGCAAGGAAAATGGGGAATAACATCATTTTTTCCATAAATTAATAGGTAAATACAGAAATAGTATTGAGAAATTTCCCATTTATAAATGGTCAAAACTTATGTTTCTGAGTAGGTTGGGGTGAAGTAGCTAGGTTTTTGGATACATGGGGATGGCTAATAGCATTACCTTTTTTTGGCATACGGTGTATCATGCTTCAAATATATATAGTAATATATTGTGATGTAGGGTGGGATATGGAAGGTCTTAGGGGACAAAATCGGCTGGATTGTGTGGGAAATGGTCTAAATTACACTATTTGGATATGAAATAATGTTGATAATGATAGCTTAAGAAATTATAAAATGAAGTAAATATAGGTGACATTAAGACACCTATATATAAATATAGGTTATGTTTAGAGGTACTAAACACTGAAAATATTATGGTAACCCCCATATACCATATATGTAATTCAAAGACAATAGTAATATATAAAATAGGGTTGAGGAAGTAATAAAATTGGTCCCGCCTCTCAACTGTCAATTAACTGGTGTACAGTATCCTGAGCCTATTGGGTTCTATCAAATCGACATTAGAAACTGTGTGTGGAGTCTGCCTCTTTCACATCACTGCCTAGTGCATTCCATTTGTTAACTACCCTGACACTGAGAAAATATATGTATTATATATATTATTATTACACTATATATATATATATATATATATATATATATATATATATATATATATATATATATATATATATATATATATATATATATATATATATATATTTATATTCCAGTGTATAAATATAATTATTTATTTGAAAGGTAACACCTAATATTCCATTGCCTTTTTGCTTTGTGATGATACAAAGCACATATATATATATATATATATATATATATATATATATATATATATATATATATATATATATATATATATATATATATATATATATATATATATATTTTATTAAATATGACCGAAAAAGTAAGATTAATAATTCTAACACGAATTTTCTCAATTTTTCGTACATTATGCTTCACTGTTGGAGGTAAATCAAAATCACTTCTCCAAAATTCATTTTTATGTGCTGACTAAATCAGCACATACAGCACCAATCAGTATGTGCTGACTAAAAATGAATTTTGGAGAAGTGATTTTTGATTTACCTCCAACAGTGAAGCATAATGTACGAAAAATTGAGAAAATTCGTGTTAGAATTATTAATCTTACTTTTTCGGTCATATTTAATAAAATATGTCTACAGGAAAGACTGCTACCAAAATATACTAATATATATATATATATATATATATATATATATATATATATATATATATATATATATATATATATATATATATATATATGGCTGACCCTGGCTGACACCTATGTACACTTCGGAGCTGATCAAGCAGGTGGGGCGGCCAACCACAGGGAAACAGCAAAATCACTCAAGTACAGGCGACTGGAAGGTCAATACCTCTTTGTTCCCATAGCGTCTGAGACGCATGGCCCCTGGGGCAAGAGTGCCTTGGGATTTCTCAAGGAATTGGGGTCCAAGCTCATTGACGTCACCAGAGACCCAAGGGCTTCCAGTTTTTTTATTTCAGCGTCTCAGTGTGGCGATCCAGAGGGGAAATGCTTGCTGCGTCCTCGGTTCCTGTCTAGAAGCGGAGGAGCTTCAAGAGATCCATAACCTTTAGGCATTTGTCTTGTATGTTTTGTAACCTTTAAATACACAATAAAGGAAAAAAAAAAAGGGAAGGGGGTGGTAGGAGAAAAGCACACAGAAACTGTATAGGAGGGAATACACATTCCCTCCAATGCGTTATGTGTGGTTTCCTCCGAGGCTATGGGTCCCCCTTCTTCCAGCCAGAGGTGGTACTCCCTTCCCTATTAAAAAAAAAAAATAATATATATATATATATATATATATATATATATATATATATATATATATATATATATATATTAATGAAAATATCCACCATGGCTGTGAGGTGGTGCGAACCCATGATGCCGACATTGCCAGTCGCGTGCTCTATCACTGAACCACCGCCGACTTGTAAAAAGTCATACAACCAAATTTCTACTGAAATCTCAGGAAGTCTGGAGGCCCCTACCAAAGCCAATCAGTATGTGCTGACTGGCTTGTGCAATATGTGCATAGATGTGTAATAAAGAGTAGCAAAATATAGTTGGATATATGGAGACGAGGAGTTGACCAAACCACACACTAGAAAGTGAAGGGACAACGACGTTTCGGTCCGTCCTGGACCATTCTCAAGCCGATTGTTTAATCATCACAATTGACTTTAGAATGGTCCAGGACGGACCGAAACGGATATATGGAGATAAGATGTTGGATATGACGAGTAGATATATATAAAGGTGTATGAACTCTTAACATATTAGAATCCTGCATTAATTGTCTGAAACTCTGCAAAATATGGTTTAATATTATGGGGTTATAATTAATAGACAAGCAAAAATTTTTATTTAACTGTTAGTAAATTGGTAAGATGATAAGGATCACTCGATTAATTAAAGAATGGGATAGGCATATATATGAATGAGGTCGGGTGGAGGTAAACAAAAGATGAAAGCTTTCTGCAGTTTCCTTAATTCTTTTGTTCAATGAGCAATCGTTGACTAGATACTGAAAAACATTTGGTATAAATAAGCAGTCTTTGTTTAGAGACTAAAAATTATTTTGACTAGAGACTTTGACTAAAGCCTGGAAAAAATATGGCAAACGTGTCATAGCCGAGATCTATCAAAATAAAATTACAACTATAACCGTCTACTGCCAAGATTCGTAGAAAAAAGTATGACGGGAACTGGCCGTTGCTAAAAATAAAAATGCTGGTTCCTGGCATACATTATACTACTAATGTGGTGTTCACCATCGCATCCTCGCAAGACAGTGTGGTGCTCACCAGTCTGCCACCGTGACAGTGGTGTTCACCATCCCCCTTCGCAACAAAGTGTGGTGCTCACCACCCTGTCACCATGACACAATGTGACAGTGTAGTACTCACCATCCCATCACCACATCAGAATGCGATGCTCAACATTCCATCACCAAATCACAGTGTGATGCTCACCATTCCGTCATCATGACACACTTCACCACCTACGATTCCTTTCTGTTTACCACCTACAAGTGATGTCCAGTTGGACCTCCAAGTAATGAGTCATTCCAGGACCCGACACGAGGTTAGTCCCGACTGTGTAGAATCTTGGATGTGGCTCGATAAGCCACCCAATGAGTAGAGGAAGCAACTGTGTTTTCTATAAGCCACCCATTGTGTAGTGCAATTCTGTGATTGGACTCGATAAGCCACCTTCCACTATGTAGAGAAACTTTGTAATCTAAGTTGAGAAGCCAACATCTGTGGAAATACACTCTGCAATCGGACTCGATAATCCACCCATTGTGTAGAGCAACTGTGATCGGACTCGATAATTCACCCATTGTGTAGATAAACTTCATGATCCGACTTGATAGTCCTTATCTGTGATCAACGGGACCTGACTCGGCGAACAACAGAGGTAAGGAAACGTAAAGGTCCAGGTGACTTCTGTTGTTTTGTCTGACTGTTGACAGCTACTGTTGTGTGAGGGATCTATATATATAACTCGTGACGATGAACACTCCCTGATAAGTATAGATATTCCATAGACAACAAATATTTGGTGCTACCCATATATCAACAACGCGATTGAAGCTGGTCTATAATTGAACAAAATGATAAAATTAATTTAGGTATACAGCATAAATATGTATTTTTATAATTAACAAATAATGCATTTCACAGTTCGCTCAGAAATTAACCTTTGTGCGTTAACTGGGCAAATCGTATTAAACATAAAACTGAACAACGCAAAAATAAACAGAGAAAAGTGTAAATATTTTGTGATATAAAAAAATATATGTTCGTATATGCAATACGCAAATATATGTGTGGACATTTTTAGGAAATTAGTTGTTACTGAGCACCAACCGGAGAAGAGAGGGAGAGGATGAGTTGTTCCTGAGCCGCAGCCAGAGATGAGAGAGATGGCATGCGGTTTTTACGCAGTTTGTACTTATCAGTTTACTGTTAAGGTAGTGTTTATGTCTTTAATTATGAATAACTTCTGCCTAAACTTCCGTGTCACCAGGTACCTGTACCTGTGACATAGGTACCTGTACCCTCGTGCCTCGTGACACAGGTACCTGTACCCTCGTGCCTCGTGACACAAGTACCTGTACCCTCGTGACACAGGTACCTGTACCCTCGTGCCTCGTGACACAGGTACCTGTACCCTCGTGACACAGGTACCTGTACCCTCGTGACACAGGTACCTGTACCCTCGTAACACAGGTACCTGTACTCTCGGTACAGATGTCTCTACCAGGTTTCTACCTGGTATAATCTTCGTTTTTGTTTGTCTGTCTGTCCAAAGTTGGAAGCTACAAGGTTGGGATTAGCCTGACCATAAATGGCAGATGGAATGGTCTGGGGTCTGGGATAAACATAGGCTGGCCAGGGTCGCCACAATTCAAAAGGGAACAGCATGCCAGGGCCACATTCACACCCCCACCACGATACTGGGCACTGCTGCCCGCCACTATACGAACGAAAATATTTTGATAAAAAATTCACATAACAGATTTTTTCTTGTAGAAGGTAACATCATTATTCAATGGTCTCTAGAAAATTTAATATAAATATATTGCTATTTAAACTAAGGCCATAATACCTTAAAAAAATTATTATATTCTGAAATTAGCCTCCCACTCAATAGGAGTGGGGGCAGGGGGGAGGACCAGGGGAGGGGGTGGACGAGGGAGGGGGAAGACGAGGGGTGGGGGGACGGGGAGGACGAGCGGTGGGGGAATGGGAAGACGAGGGAGGGGGAGGAGGATTTAGGGGGGACGGCCGGAGAAATTGCTGACCTGGAGAGCGTGCGGAGATCCTTTAAAGCTAGAATCCACTCAGTAAAACATCTAAACTACTGAGATCGACTAAAGAGCCTAAATCTGTATTCTCTTGAGCGCAGGCGGGAGAGATACATAATAATTTACACGTGGAAAATATTAGAGGGACTGGTCCCAAACCGGAACATAGAAATAACATCACATGAGACCAGAAGGCAGGATGCGCAGAATACCCCCGTTGAAGAGCAGAGGTGCAACAGGTACTCTGAGAGAGAACTCTATCAACATCAGTCTCAGGCCCGAGACTGTTCAACACGCTTCCACTACACATAAGGGACATAACTGGCAGACCCCTCACAGTGTTCAAGGGAGAACTGGATAAGCACCTCCAAAGGATACCTGATCAACCAGGCTGTGACTCATATAGGTGGGAAGAGGGGGTATTCCCCCTACCCCCTACGAGGGGTAGGGAGAGGGGGAAGGGGAGAACGAGGGGTGGGGGAAAGGGGGAGTGGAAGAGGAGAGAGGAGCTGGAGTTGAGAAGATGAGGGAAGAGTGAGGATGGGGTATTGAGAGGGGAGA